GCTTGATGAAAATCAGTCCTGAAGTTTGCCCAAAGGCTACAAAGGGGCAATGAGCCTTGTAATGCTAACATCTCCCTTGGGCAGCATGGAAGGACTGCAGGTTAGAAACTGTTTTCAATCCTAGTCTTGGCCAGTATGAGTACATGCCCCACCCAAGAAATCTTTAATGTTCAGAGGCTTCGTATCAAATCATTTTTACATCTTTTGTTTAAAGGCTGTGCTATAGTGAAGCAGGAGGAGGTGAGCAGCCCTGTTTTGGTCCTGCAGCCTCTGCTCATGCCCAGATTTAGACGACGGCTGGGGCTTTGGTAAAGGGAGATGCCTCTTGTGGGAAACTTCCAAGCTGTATGCCCACAGCAGTCCTGATGGGCCCCATCTGCACTACCTGGTGCAGGGCAGCCCTGGCTGGCTGCAGAAGACACAATGCCCTGCACTGCTGCCCAGGGACCAGAGTGATGGGCTGAAAACCACTGACATTGATCAAGAATGAGAGCATCCAGGGAACCCATTTTAAAATAAAATTATCAACTGTTTGTGAATATACTTTCACGCTGGCATATACCATTTTTCTGCTTCTGGTAAGGCTCAGCGACTTCAAACACAGGTTTCAGAGCCTTTCCCCTTTTTGTATTGGGATAAGAAGGTTTTTTTAAGGGGGTGGCACCAATTTTTTCACAGTTGTATTCCATGCCAGGCTTTCTTTGCTAAATATCAACCATGTGTTACTAGAGTACTGACCGCTCTTAGTTTATGTTCTTTTGTACTTTTCTCCTTAAACCATGCCCATCACATCCTGGTGATAACATTCAAGTGGTTCTCAAGATGCACTTTATGTATCATTTTCTCTCCAAGAGTTCTGATGACTTTGTAAGCTAATTAAAATAAAGCTTCAAAGGGTTTTCGTAATAGATTATAATATCTTTGGTTTCATGACATCTGTTAAAATTTACAACTAAGGATGTCATTTTTGGTGAAAAGTATGTTCTTTTACATCCAGCCCATTTATTTATGTATTTATTTAGTGACAGAGCATCTAATTTGTAAGAGACATGCAAAGGCAATCATTAATCATACATTTGTCATCCAGCACCTTCCCCAGCAGTTAACTAAAAATCTGCAGACAAGCTGTTTGAATGTTCTGAAGCCAGTCACTGAAAACTTGCAAATAAAGCTGATAATCACCTTTTTTTTTTTTTTTTTTTTTTTTTTCCTCCCCCAAAAAAAGTCTAGCAGAGCTTCGGTAGAAGAAAACAAATTATGGGCAAATTAGACACTGGAGTCATCTGGAGTTGTCTTGGTTTTTTTCAGACAGTCTTTGCATTCTGTTATCAGAATACTTGCAGAAAAGGTTTCATGCTTTTGTACATAATTCCTTTTAAGGAAATATCTTCTGCTGTATTCTATGCTGTAATCAATTTAAAATGCTGGCATAATCATTTAAAGCACAACATGTCTGTTCATTTGATTTGCAGTTTGCCTTGATGATCATTCTTAGCCACTGAAAAAGACTCTGGACATGAAATTGTCCATGCAAGTAAGTTGTAAGTAATCTGCACAGGAGTTAATTTCACTGTCCCAAAATACCACATTCCTCTGTCTGTGTGAATATCAATGTTTTTTAAAAAATAACACAACTTCTCTTTTGCTGAAGAACTCAGCCCTGCCTTGGTCCCCAGTGGTGGTGGCTCTGTCCCCCAGTGCCCGCTGGGACACAACGCTCCTGGGAGCTCTGAACTGACAGCATGCCTGTGGCTCTTGCTTTTGGCCATATTACATACATTTTGGGGTGATCTCTCTGCATGCTTATAGTGTGGTTCTTGGGACTGGTTTCCTCCTGCAGACAGCTTCAGAGGGCAAGTTGCCTGCTTATTGCCTGGGCTGAGAATTAGAGTGTTTTGGTGTGCCTGACATGGTTGGCCACACTGAGATACAGGTATGAAGGTCATTATACATGCCAGTGATTAATGGATTAATAGATTTGCTGAGTTCTTGTCTACAATGAATATATTTGGTGTTCAGTGTGAACCCAGAGGGTATGCAGCTTAACTTTTAAAACCTATCTTGCAGAAATTGATGAAAAGTATTGTCCATTACAAGATGGGTTAGATGCAGTGCTTCCAACCTAGAAATTCTGTGATTCTGTGATCTTCATAACAACATAGAAATACTAGTTTACGGTTTTATATCTAAAGGTTGCTGGTTTTTAAATCTTAATAATAATAATAGAAGCCTTTGTGTGGACTGTGCTGCAGCAAACTAGAAATTGTCCTTGTCAGTTGTTAAAGGTAAGCAAACGTGAATAATCCAAAATTGTCCATTATTGTGATTTGTTTCTGAAATATTACCTCTCCATTTTGGGGAATATAGACTTTGAAACATAAAACCCAACTAACTTACAGACGAATTGGGTATCCGGCAAGCAGAACAAGAATTGCATGACAGTTCCACAAGGTAGTTCTTCTAAAATGTGTTGTAAACAGCAGTGACTGTTTTCAACACCCTTAGGATTTTGAGTGAATACCCTAGAGTAGGGAGCAAATCAAAACTTAGCTAGTTGTCTCAGGGACTTGGCCTTTATCACTTGATAAGGACCTCTTTGTAAGTTCAGAGGAAGAGTGCATTGAAACAAAGAAACCATTACTTCCCCAGTGTGTTTTCTGGCAAACTCTAAAGCAGGATTACAGAAGGAGCTGGTGAGGACAACAGCAGGTCCCCTGTGAGAGCTCCAGCCACCTAGGCTGTGTCAGACCTTAACCAACATCACGTGGTGCAGGTGGAGGGAGAGGAGCTCAAGCCCTCTTTGTGCTCCAGGTCTGACACTGCCTTCAGTCACAGAACATGCTCACACTGTGTGCGGCCATAATTGTCACTCTTTTGCATAAAAAGATACAAATATTAACCAGGTTACAAGTGAATCTCAGAAAAGTAACAGATTCATGCTAGTGCTATAAAAATGTCCTATACCTCCCATTTTAAATGTAGCAGTAAGAAAACAGCAAAGGGCATCTTTAAAAAAGATGGTTAGATCACTGATATTCTGAAGCACAAATATAGACAGAACCAGATTGCCTAGGCTACTTAACCACCTCCATGCATTGCACAACTTAGCTGACCTCAAGCCAGCCTGAAACTAGCCTGATATAGTCGAAAAACACTAAAAAAGCTTAATTTCATTTTAGCATTTTTTCCCTAAACTGTCTGGGATATTCACAGCCTCAAATACTTTGAGTTTATTGTAGATAAGGGAATTTTTGCATTATGACATGGAGTGGTTTGATACAGAACTTCCCTTGACTATCTTTCCACACACTGCACAATGCTACAAATGTAAGATATGCCAAGTAACACATAGTTAGAGCAGCTTTTTTTGAATTTCTTTTATACTACTGTGAAGTGAATTGCAACATCTTCTGAAGTAAAACACTTGCAGAAATAAAGCAGACCCCTGCAGCAGAAGGATGGTGGTATTACATTCTTTCAGCATGGTACATTATTTATTCTTTTTGAGAAAATGGCTATTAGCACACCTTGTATTTGCTTTATCACATTAGGGAAGACGTATTAGGGAAGACAGGAACCCAATAACATTCACACAATTTCAAAATCTGTTGCATAAAATGCATATATCTATGTGATATCAGCATGGGCTAGAAACATATTTCAGCATCTGGAAGCATGATAGAAGTGAACACTGCTGAATGTGAAAAAGGATCGCTGTCAAGCTACAACAATAACCTAGGCCTGGATTCATCTTGATCTCAAACATGTCTATATCTTCATGTAAATGAGTATCCCAACTCCCTATTTTATTCATTAATCATTAGTACAAGGATGACTGAACAGCAAAACATCTTTTTTTGTAATTCTTAGAAAACTGACTCCCACTTGACACTTCCACATGACATATTAAATACAAAGGCCAGAGGTACACCTATGGTCAATGCTCAGCCTACCCACCATCAGTGAGTGATCTGCTTCAGTTTCACATACACTGTATTCTTCATATGAAATTTTACTTAAAACACGTTGTGAACTTCACTTGTGGCTTGTAACCAGAATTAGGAATTAAGAAATGGGGCTCCATCCTTTGAGATCTTCGCTCCTTTCTCCCTCATCTTCACCACTCAGAACCAGCAACCCTCCCTACAAGACTGTTTATCAGAGCCTCATCGTTGATCAAATATGCTACCAGAATGGCAAGCTCCTATTGTAATTCAGTGGGGCAAAGAACCTTTCTTAGTGCTCTGAGAATGCCAGAAATCACAACAGCCTCTGCAGCATCACCCAAAAGTGTGTTATTGTATTTCTGTGTTTGTCCCCTATATATTCCCCCCAAAGCATAATTGCTGTGAATTAAGGGCTTTCACTCAGTCTTCTTTTAAGAATACTCTTTTTTTCATACCTATAGGAAATGGCTCATACATTCATACATAAGGAAATGTTATTAAGATTTGAGATGCTTTGGTGAAAACTCAGGCATTAAATGCAGGTGAACCACAAATGCCATGGTGCAAGGCTTGCCAGGATATTCTTACCTTCACTTCTTCCTTCAGTAAAGTGCTTCCAGAGGCAGGGCAGGGATCATTCATGCCATGATGCTTTCTAGAATCAAATCATCATTTCTGCAGTCTAGGGCAACATACATGTATATCTGAATCAAAGGGCATCTATAGCAATAATATCAAATATGACATGGCAAGTATGAACCGGGTCTAGTAGCTAAAGACTTTTTGACTTTTTAAGATGTTCAATTGAACATTTAAAAGGTTTAGTCTCATATCAGGTCTAGAAAGCACCCTGGGGGCAGGCTTAAGTAACTGCGCCATTAGGCAGTGAGCTGCAAATTGCCTATTAAGTCTGACTGAAACTGTAAAATTGCTTTTCACAATGCAAATTAATGTAAATAAGAACAATTGGTTACACATATCACAGACTATCAAACTGATGACAGATGATGCATACTGTTGTGGTTTTTTTTTTTTCTCCTGAATTAACATAGCTTTAAAGTTAAATTTAGTGTGTATTTAAGAGAATGTTCCCAGGATAAAGTCTACCAACATGTTATAAAAAAAATGTACATCAGGATGTGTATCCTCTCTTATATTACATAGACCTGTTCTTAAGTACATCAGTAATACTTTCTTTCAAACGTAATAGAAATACCACAGAACAAGCCATTTAGCAACATCTACATCTTAACCTCATTCAGAAGAGTGAGATTATGAATCTGTTATAAAACCATTAGGAAGCAAGGGGAAAAGCTGAGCATTTCAAAAGCATCAACAAATGATCAAAGCCCCTGTGTCGACCCTTCGGGCTTCAGTCATTCACTGGTAGTAACAGCTGTGTGCAATAGCAAACACTGTCATTGCTGAGAGCTTTGACTGGGCATCATATTTTTTAAAAAATTTGTTTCAAAAATGCAATAAAATTCAAATCAGAAAGACTTCCTTTTTGGCCTCATCCAAGGTTAAATTAAGTCACACATGCACAACCAACTTAATTCCTTTGGAAGAACAAGATCTATGTCAAGTGATGAACTCTCAGTCTTAGCAGTCTACTTCTATTTCACAACTTCATCTTTTAGGAATGTTTCACACTGACAGTAAGGAGCAGACTTACTTCTGCAGTCAGAGCTGAGTTTGCCTATTTAGTGGTAAGGGAGTTGTTCTTATCAGGGATTTTTCTTATCAGAATTAACATATGTTATCTGAATTTTTACATTCCCATTAGCAACAGAAATATCTGTCATAAGTTTATTACAGACTCTTGCATAAATCAGATATCCTGATAGCTCCCCAGGGGCTGCTGCTTCCAGCCTCTACATCCATTACCCAGGTAAAGGGGGCATGGGTAAGCAGAGTGTTTGATAAGAGCTGCCCATACTGCCCACACATGCGGGCAAGGGTGGCTGTGGGGCTGCGTTCCAGCACCATGCACCCATCTCAGCCCCGTGCCACAGACCGTGATGCCCCACGCAAAGGGCACGGGAGTGGCCGAGCCCAATGCCCTCCCCAGAGCAGCAGCCTGCCAAAGGGTGCTGTGACCATCCCTTATTCCCTTTGGAAATGGGCAGAGGCAGGTCTTAGAGGAAGGCTGAGATTACCCTTTAGCCACACACCTCCTGGCTTGGTGTCTCAGGAAGAATGTCATCCCATTCTTTCACTGCTGTACTGCTGTGTTTTCAGCAACATTTTCTTCTCTTTTTCTGTCATTTTAATTGCTGTTTTAAAGAACTGCATTTGGAAAGAGTGTCTGGTACAAGGTGCACGGGTCAAATAAACACCATGTTTGCTTATCTTTCAGAGTAATAAATTTTAAGCAAAAAATAATTAGCCACAAGCTGGGACTGTTTTCTTTCAGCCTTGGGGACCTTTTGGTGGCAATGAGCTTTCACTTTCTCCCTCTCATTAACATATTGGTAGATGTAGATTAATTAGACAAAAGGAACTTACACCACATATGAAAACATTGACCTATATTATAGGTTGGTTCTCTCTGTGTCCTCTGGGGTTTGTTCGGGTCTTGCTGAGTTTGGCTTTGCTGAATGCATTAGAATCCTTTTATATCACATTACTCATTATCTGGAACATAACATTAAAAAAATTTAATCCCCACATCAGCCAGGCTGCCCTTCTCTTCCTATAACATTATGGCATTTACTGATACATTACAGATGAAGGCTTCATTTAAATAAAGTACAGCTTGCAAACATTTAACAAGAAGATAAAATGGCATCAACTATGCTGTATTCAGCAACTCCTCTCGTTGTTAATCCCCTGGAAATGGCTGGAAGTTCAGCGGCTTCCTGCTCGAGGGGCCAAGCAATAAGCAGCACAGCTCTGCTGGGTTCACCCATCTAAGTCACCCCTCTGCTAAGCTCTGCTTAGCGGCGTGGAGAGACCAGAGCCCTCAGCTATGAAACCTGCCTGCAGCCTTTCATCAGCTTCCAAAAGTTTTTGATGAGTCTCCACCTTGCCTCCAGGAAGTCCTTCTCCTGCATCTTCAGCAGTTTGATTGTTAAGGAGCTACATCTTCAGTGGTTGTTCCATCGGGCACTGCTCCCAAAGCTCCATAGACCTGCACCATAAATCAGAAAGGAGGCTTGGACACCTGCTTCCCAGATAATCCTGAGCCCCGGCAGGGGCTCAGACATCACCCTCTCTCATGGCCTTGCCCGACCGATGTTGTCTCTTCACATCACCCTGTTCAGATTCCCCCAGCTATAGCATTACTCGTGCTGGTAGTAAATAAGGCTCAGGTCAGCTTCTGCAGTGGATGGAAAACTGTATTCTCTCCCTGCAGGGTCATCTTGTACCCACATACCCATGGAAAAATCAGTAGCCCAGAATCTAAAAAATGGCTGGATCTGTAGTGTTTCCATTGCCCCAGGTCTCAGATGTGATCTTTACGGTCAAGTAATAATTCAATGGAAGATGATGCTGCACTCTGTATCTGAATATAGTTCCTTGACAATAGTGTTCAGCATATGCACACATGCAGAAAACCTGTATTAACTGAAAACTAAGTATAAAATGAATTCTGAAAATCAGCAAATTTGAACGTTAAAAGGCTGTTTTCTGAGCATCATGGCATTCCCTGTAAATCACTAATGATAAAATACAAGATTTTATGTCACTAGCAGACACAGATAATAGGAACAGGCCCTTCATTAGGATTTCTGAAATGCTGGAAACAGCACCCTCTGTACATAAAATCATACTGATTTATTTTAATGCATGTTGTAAGTAAATTCTTAACAGATGGATGGAGCACCAGAAGGGTAACACAAGGGAGTCAGCAGGTGGACAGAGAAGCCAAGAATGGACTGGCACTGATCAGATTATCAAATCCAAATACCTTGAGACAAGCACAAGCTGCCCACAAAATAGGCTGGCACTGACGAGATAAACAAGCAAAAATAGCATAGAGATGCAGACCTTTCATAGCATCCTTCTCCAGACCCAGGGATCCTTCCTGGAGACTAAAGCATTGCCACAGAGATTTCCAACAGCCTTTCCCCATGTGCCCAAGGCTGATGAGGCCACAAGATAGGAGACAAAGTGCTGTTGATTCCCACAAACACATGACAAGTCTCTTTCACTATTTATATTTATTAAAAATAAATAAATAAATAAATTAAAGAGGGAATTCTAACTCTGGCTCCAAACCAGCAGCGCTCTCACCTACACACTTAGCTCACATCATATACGCTGGCCCATTGGACTTAGTAAGGGCATTCAACTTGCGTAAATGACAGTAATGGCCTTACTGAGAAACAAAGAAACAGAAAATTCACAATGTTAAGTGCTAAAGACAAGGAGACTCAAAACTTGCAGAAGAAATCAATCATTTTTGGTCTCTTTTCCACTCTAATGATTGTAGGTGTTGATGCAACAATTACAAAGAAACATTTTGATAAGAACTTGTAATATATATGTCAGTAGTAACTTTTAGCAAGGTATAACCTGAGGGTCAATCAGCGTGTGCCATTCCACTTGTTACTTTGCATTTTTATACATATCTCTTGACAAATATTTTTATATCAGAAAAGATTGTTTATGATGTTTGGGAGAAAAAGAGCTTTAAGTCGCTACACCAAAACCCGAACTATAACTGAAGATTTAGTTTCATTCTCTTATCCTTGAAAGTAATTATTTACTCAAAACACATTTCCAAAGGTGATCTATTATATCTGTGTTACACATCTGCAAAAAGTCAAGGAGTTATGCTTGTCAAAAGAGATGTAAAAGCCTAACATACTAAAATGCAACTGAAACAGCCTTTTGCTATCTTATAAACATTGCCTGGATTAAATCTTGCCTTGTCCCTTGCCGTTGAGAGAATTTGCACATGATTTAATAACATCTAGATGGGATTACTGTAATTCCTTGTTTGCAACTCGGCCAGCATCACCATTACAGAATCTGCATTTTTTGCTCAACACCACAGCTTGAACCACCTAAAAGCAGGTCTGTCACAAGGCTTTGATACGAGTCCCTCCTCTTGCCACAACACAACGTACCTGTCAAGAGTTCAAGACACAAAGAGACTTGAGTATAGATTACTGAAGTGAATTTTTAACTACACACTAAATTCATTAATGTCTCATCTTGTAGTCCAATGAGAACCATTAAATTCAAGTGAAGTCAGCCAAAGACAGTGAATCTCAGAAGCCCAAGTAACATGGAAGTGGGTTCTTCTTTCACAGCCAGCCTCACAGAAAGCTCTAGCTCTTTTCCCAAGCTTTCTTTTAAGCCCTTGCTTAAATTTAGCAGCCTGGCATGTTGCAGGTGATGGAGTGGAGCCTGCACATGGACCTGCGGGCACCATGCCTGTGATGCTCATGTCTTAAGGACTGCAGGAGCAGTGTGACTATTCAAAACCAAACATCAGAGAACCAGTGAAAATATCATGACCAAAGTCTACAGGCTGAAACAAGGACAAGGCAAGCTTTTTCATCAAACCAAAATCCCTCCCAAGTAGCTTGTTGCCTCGACAAAACACGATACTGCTCCAGTGTTTGACCTTACCCCTTCTTAAACACTGGAGCAGTTACGCTAAGTGTGCACCACTGCTATGCTGGACCAACCCTTCTCACCCCAAACTCTCAATGCCTCCATGGCCTTGTGGTCAGATAATAGGCAAGTAAAATACCTCCCTCAGTCAGGGCTCATGAACAGTGACAGGAAATAGCATTCAGCTTGTGTGCAGCACAGAGGAGGCTAGACAGCACAAAGTAAAAAGTTAATCAGTTGTTCTAGAAAAGATGCCAAGAGAAAAGTTAATCCTTGCACATATGCTGGACTTGCAGTGAAGCAGGGAACACTTACTGGAGGGCTGGTATATGCATCTTTGGAATGACAAGTCTGCTCCTCCCAGCCCCAGAGATGTATCTGCTGGGAATACAGCCAGGGATGCCATTTGTGGATTATAGTTAAATGTTAAATAGCTAATAATGGACATCCTGGGGAACCCCCTGCTCCCTCCCCCCCACCCCCAAAAAAGAAGAAACCTCTGTACCCACCGTTACAAAGTGCCCAAAAATCAGCATGAAAGCAATTTCCACATATGTGCTGTCACTGTACTCCTGCACATTTTGCAACAGAGCATTTAAAAGGTCAAATAAAAAGACTTTGTTTGCAATGTAAAAGTCAATGACTTGAAAACATGTTACACAAGTAATCTGCAGGCACCAAGCGGTACCTCCTTCAAGCTGCCTTGCCATGCTGATTGCAGTGCAATTTACACAGCTGGGCAGGCCGACAGGTGGCCAAAGCATGCCAGGCAGGTGGCTGCCTGTTAGAGAGTGAAGGATGATGCAAGAGAGAACATTTCCCAGGGAATGAGATTTCATCGGCTATTAACACAGGCAACTGCCAATAGCAGGTGACCGTAAGTACAGGGGGCCATAAATACAGGTTTCACTGTAATGCAGGACACTCACAATAACCATCTCATCATGACAACTGTCTCCTGCATAAGGAAAGCCAGAAGCTGCCCCTTCATCCCAGAACTTAAAAAATCCCTCTGGTGGGTAGAAGTGGAGTGTCTAAAAACATCTGCAGACGCATGACGAATGCAACCTGCAGAGAAGTGCGCAGTTGAGTTTTACTGCTGCTAACCCAGCACCTCAGCTGCATCTTGGGGAAGCATCTGGATTTGGTGGCAATCCAGAGCTTTGACTGTTAGGGCCATTTGAATTAGTCTTTGCTATTTCTGTGTGCACCTACCAAGATAGCCATTTGGCTAGCTAACGCAGCATTTTACAGATACCAAAGGAAGTATTATCCCCAGTTACTTCAGGCTTGCAGCATGCCTGTGATTAGGGAGAACAAGAACAGATGGAAGAGAGAAGTTAAATAAACTGGACAAGGTTATATACAAGCCATGAGTGGCAGACTCCTCTTTCTGGCCTCTTGGCTGCCCACATTTCTCATATCGTTCCTATGTGATATGGAGGATTTAAATGCTACACCAAAATATAGACCAGATAAATAAACCTGCTTGCTTAGTCACTATCAAAAAAGGTTCATCAGTTTCCTCTTGTGCAGATTCAGACAATATCTTAACATAACTCACCAACTTATGACAAAGATTTAATATTATATGTGTACAAACGAGACCAGAAACATAAAATAAAGGCTAACAAGCCACCTGCTTCATGAGACAAACATTCATAAATGTCATAAAATTTTATGCTGTCATAAAATAGTGCAACAGAAAAAAACTTCCATTATTTCACTGCAAGGGGCAAAAGCCTTTATGGTACTTGCCATGACTTGTTCAGCAAAACACAAATATAAGCACACAGAAACATATTGAGAAGAAGGACAAGGTAATAAAATTCCCCAGAAAGAAGGCTGATAATTGACGCATACCAGCATGTCTTTGCATGACGGTGCTCTATATCACAGTTTTTGATTGCAAGATTTCTAGGACACAGACTGTGTCATCCTCCCTACTAGATATGATGCACATTTTTTCCAAGAAATTCATCCCAAACTGAGCAAATGTCATGAAGCACACCTCTAGGGATAAGAAAACAACAGTAATGCATTAGTTTTGCAGGTAGAGAAACTGAAGTAAAGTTGTGGAATAGTGAGGAGGGAAATCCAGTCAGTGGCCCACTTCATCCCAGTAATTATTTCTTGGTGTCACTGTATTAAAATACACTTCATTTAAATAAGGGAACATCATGTATTGGCACAAGCACAATCCAGATTACTTGCCTCCTTTCTCTCCACCAGTATTCACATTGCTGTGCACATGGTCAGCTCCTGAAAAAAAAAACAGCAAGAGAACAACACTGCAAGATGCCAAAATATGAGTGCTTTGTCCCTATGCTCTGTATTGTTTGGAAATTATTGGGATTTGGAAATTTTCTGTTCAAACTTTTCCTCCCCAATATCATTTATGATGTCATTTTCTTGTGGAAAGTCTGAAAAAATTAGGCTGAATAAAAAAAAAAATTAAACAAAATTAATTAATATAAAGTATCCTGTTTTGAGTGTATACATTCATAGGAAGACATCAGTCTTTCAATCCACATTATCCTGGAACTTCACCTCATGTTTGTCTCAACTATTTCATTCTCACTCTTTCAGAAAAAGAAAAAAAAAAAATGAAAAAGCAACATTTGCATTCAGAATTCCTTACTGAGTAGAAAATGGAGATGAAATTTTTTTCCTTCTGACAGGGTGCTCAGCACTTTGCTGCACCCCAGCAGTGCTGTGGCCCTGGCTCATTTGCTGGTCCGTGGCCAGTACAGCTGCACCAGTGCATGGTTGTTGGCACCACAAAGTTCTTTGGGTCATCAGCTTTCTGTCAGATCTGAGATATTCAGATAAATATTTACAGTTAGTCTTGTATGAACTTCCCTTTCATCAACACTATAAAACCTAAAACGTGACCAGCTCGCAGTTAGGACTCAGATAATTTTAGAATTTCTCTCTGAATGAGAGAAGAAGAGCTGCTTTGCAGGCTGGTCATTCAGGCATCTGCAATGGGAAAGGGCTGCCCAGGATAATCACCAGACCATCCACCAAGGCTGAATCCCCAGCCAGCCAGGGAGGCAAGGCAGGTGTTTCTGGACAGCACATCTCATGCAGCCTCAGGCCACAAAGCTTCTCTGTCGTGAGCATGAAGTCTGTCGACACCAGATACCAGGCTGGTGTAGGCTAAGGAGAGAGATCCCATCTCTGATTTGAAAGCAAAATGTGTTTTTGTGGAAGGCACTTCTGATGATGTAAGTGATGTCTTTGTGGGACCTCCTAAGCTGTTTGCAAACATTACAGACCGTCCCAGACAGAATAGATTAATAGGGGTGACACAAACAACAGCGTTAGGGAATGCAGAATAAATGCAACAGCCATGGAGTTATGCTACTTACTCTTCTAATCAAGCAGTAGGTGGTATGTACATATGTTACTAGTATCAAAAGATGAGAGATTGTATACAAACCAGTTAACTGAAACACTGTGTGTTATATACCCTGTGAATCATACTTGTTAACATGAGGTTTTTACTGCATCATGTTTGCTACTGCAAATTTCTTGACTAGACGTGCATCAAGCAACAAACAAAAAGTCAGTGTTAACTTGTCAGTGTTAACTTTTTACTTTAATTCTCATTCAGGGATCTGCTGCCATTCATTTCCTGAGGTTCACGGGGTCATCAAAACTAGTTCCCAGCGTGAATTACTGAAGGAGGGCCAAGGAAATTTCTGCCCTACCCACGAGGCAGGTGAGCAGCATCACATGTTTCAAAATGCTTTTGTGTACTTTGTAGTTTAAGAGCACATGCATGAAATATTTGGCAACTTTCCACACACCCAAAACAGGGAAACAACTGTGCTGTGTGTCAGATATTACGTATTATTTAAATCCCAGCTCCCAGGATCCAGCATCCTGTATCAGCAGTAATGACTAAAACTATTGAAAGTCATTAAAGAACTTACTAATCAGACTCCTAATTGAGGATATCTGCTTCCCATTACACAGAGACAAATTAAGCGGGTTAAAACAGTTCCCAGAAAACATCTGCTGAAGCAAGTCAAAACTAATGATAAATAAAATTGTGTTCCCTTTGTGGTTGATTTTTCTCCCATCTGTACCCACAAACATGCTATCATTACTTGTCAGTCCAAAACAACTTTGAAGTACATTCCCATCCTCTCACAACATCTTTCCAATACCTCTTTAATCAAAGGCGAATGTAAACTGAAACAGTCTCTTTCACACTTAAACATGTTCACTTGTCCACTCGCAGAGGGCAAAATACCAGCTATTCCTGGTAGCACAGCACACCAGGCTGTGCCTGCATCTGCATTGCTGCCCGGGCAGTCTGCAGAGCAGCACACCAGTGCTGAGCACGTCTTACTGTGTCAGAGCCAGACACTTCAAGGTGTGGAGCTTCAAAAATGCAGGGGCAGGGGTAGTGAACTGCATCCTAGAGGCACTGTTGCTGTGCTCTTTTTTTCCAGGTGACTTGCCACTCCACCCCAAGCAGTGCAGATGACGTGACACACTGCAGATGGCTCAGCAGGCACCGAGGCAGCAGGCGTTCTGCTCGCTGCTCGGGCAGGGTCTAGTAGCACAGGTGTTGGATTTTGCACTTGCCAGATAGCTGGCTGCAGCCAATATTTGTGTGTGTTTGTGATATTTTTTTTGTTTGTGTGTTGTTTTTTTTTTAAGGAAAGTAGTAAAATCCCAATACCAGACCCACTAAGAAAGTGCTAGTAACCATCCACATTGCCTGATCAAATGCTAATTGGTACATTGGAGATATAGATGTAGTACACCATCTGGGCAGATCTCCAGAGTCATTCTCGAGAAAGGTATGTTCAGCACTGCATGTACCAGGCGGGCTCTTCCTCCTCTCAGCACTACCAGCACCATTCAATATAGCGCACAGCATGCTCTGCTTATTGGCTGGTGCCCGAGTAGATAACCATGATCTTTATTTCCCCCAGAGGCAGCTATCTCCAGACGTCAGTAAATTAGAGAGCCTCCTTGACACTGACAGACAAGTTGTCATGGAGCTATTTTTCTCTCTAACAGAGCTGCAGAGAGCTCTGCCTGCGTATCCCATTCATGATAAATGGCCTGAGGTATTCATTTGCTCGCTTGCTTATTACATTGTCCACTAATATCTTTGCTCCAAGTACTCACATCACTATGGCTGTATAGAGCCTGTTTCCCACATTCCCCATGGACAGCAGCTGTTCTGACAGTACAAAATTTAAAAAGACACCAAAATCAAAGTCCTTCTACAACAGCTTCTTGGTCTAGCAGGTAGCTACACAAATAACATCTCCCAGCCCAGCAGGACCTTCTCCAGACCTCACCAGGCATGTGATTCACATGGGGCTCTCACACTTCTGCCACTGCATCCCTACTGTGATTCCAGCTCTAAAGACATTATGCAGAGCTGGTCCCATCTGAAAAGCCATGATGAGATAAACTGTACACTTGGGAGTTTACATTTGTCATCTGCCATGGTAATACTTAAAGGCCAGACTGTTGACAGGCTTGAGGCATAAATACACGCCCATAACCACTCTGATTTTCAAGTTACCTAGATACTCAGCTTCTCAGAATGGTTAAGAGGTCAGAAAGGAGCTCTGGATGTCACCTGCCCCAACCTCTGCCCAAGCAGGGCCACCCAGGTTGCCCAGAATCATGTCCAGGCAGCTTTTGAGGATCACGAAGGAGAGACTCCAACGCCTCTCTGGGCAACAAGTGC